CTAAATAAACTATATCTGTTTTGAAACTAATCTTACTGGACTAATTTATTCAAAAGCAATTCTAGTATATCTGTACTGGCAGGCTTAAGTGATAATTTTCAAATACTTTCTCTGAATATTTTTATTGTCTTAAGCATGACTTTTTCTCTAGTAATAATGCATCTTTCTTGTTCTACTATTTCTTTGCAAAACATACTTCTTAGTGATATTAAATACATACACATCTCTGAAACCCTCACTCACATTTTATTTTAAATGTACTTGATATTTTCAGTTCAAAAGAAATTTTACATCACTGTTGGTTTACAAATTTTTCTAAGTGACAACATACATATTTTTCATACTGTCATTATAAGTGGCTTATATTTCTGAATTTCAGTGTTAGAGTAAACATAAGACTTTGTGAGTCAATGTGTGTAATATTCTGCAGTCAGTATTTAGCAGCTTGCATGGTGTTGTCATGTGTACAAACATCTGCCATAAAAAAATATTGCTAAATTCTGCAATGTACAGTTATTTTTTAACACATTTTTTTAATAATGTTTGGAATTTTTCTTCTTCTAAAAAAACTATGCATGTAATACAGAATTAGGAATTCAAATACTCTCTGACAGAGTTGTGTCTGGTACATTCTTTACCAGAATTGTTACTACTTTATTTAGTTTTTCATTTCACTACAGGAAGAACAACACTATCCATCTGCAACTATCAGTGTAAGAAAAATATTACTCTCATCCAAGTGTTAACATCTTTATCTTTCTCTCATCCTTCTTCCTTTTTAGAAAGAGAAAATGCTTATCTAAGCTACTCATTAGATCAAAAGCAACCTCTATTTTCACAGCAGGAAGTTACAGATCCTTAAGATTCCCGTTCCTTCCATTTTCTATGTGTTCATTTATTGCTGAATTTTAATATGTATCAGAATTTGTCAATGATAGCCTAATGGGCAGTCAGAGAGAGAAACCCTCTTCCACTCATTCTGCCTCCTCAGATCTCAATATCTGGATATGCCAGTCAGAAAATTTTGACAAACCAAACACCTAGAAATCTTGACACCTACTTTTTTAAATTATTCCTTCTAATGATCAACACACCACGGCAGTATTACAGATGTCTAGCATCTGAAACACTCAAGGAGATAGAACATCTATAAGAGAGCTTATAAACAGGAGGGAGATCAATGTTTTACATGGTCTGATAGTGACAGAGTATGTGGGAATGGTTTTAAACTAAAAGATTAGTTTTAATTTTAATTTTAATTTAGTTTTAAACTAAAAGACCTTTAACAGGGTTATCACTCTTGTCCCACATCATTTATGTTACTGCTTTTACATGAACAATCATACTATATATATATTTATTGTCTCAAATCCACAATCACTTACGTTTCTTTTACACCAATGTGAAATACTGTTAGTAGTTCAAATGACAAATATCAAAGACTGAAGCTAAACTAATGTCTGCAGTTAATTTCTTGGATATAGAAATAGAGTATCCCAGGGCATTACTCTCCTAGAATTCTTAGAATCACGAGGTTGGGGATGGCCTGCAAGATCATCCAGTCCAACTACCCTCCCATTACTATTGCTACCACAAGCTACTAAACAATGTCTTGTAGCTCCTCATCCAGACGCCTCTTTAACACTGCCAGGGATGGCAACTCCACCACTTCCCTGGGCAGCGATTCCAGTGCCTGATCACTCTGTGAGAGGAAAATGTTCTTCCTTAAGTCTAACCTAAACCTCCTCTGGCACAACTTCCAGCCATTTCCTCGAGTCCTGTTTGTTGCCCGAGAGAAGAGGCCAAACCCCTCCTCATCATAACCTTCCTTCAAGAAGTTGCAGAGTGCAATGACTTCTCCTCTGAGCCTCCTCTTCTCCAGACTAAACAATTGCAGCTCACTCAGCCACTTCTCTTAAGACTTGTGCTCCAGACCACTCACCAGTTTCGTTGCCTTTGGTCATTGGTCTTTTTTGTAGTCTGGGACCCAACACTGATTACAGTACTCAAGGTGCAGCCTCACTAGTGCTGAGTACAGAGGGATGATCACCTCCCCGCTCCTGCTCGCCACACTATTTCTAATGCAGGCCAGGATGCCATTGGCTCTCTTGGCCACCTGAGCACACTGGCAGCTCATGTTCAGCCAAGCATTCAAACAACACCGCAAGGTCCCTTTCCTCTTCACAGTCATTCAGCCATTCATCCCCAAGCCTATAGTGCTGCATGGGATTATTATGGCCAAAGTGCAGGACCTGGCACTTGGCCTTGCTGAACCTCATCCTATTCACCTCAGCCCAGAGGTGTTCAGATGTCTTCAGATATCTCTAAGTTCCCCAATGTGTGCAATGACAAAAATATTAATAATTAAAAAAAAAAAAAAGTGAATTATTGCTTCGCTCTTTTTTTAGTGATTGGTGAGATAATGGTCAGTTTCCCTGAGATGAGTCCCTGAAGTAATTCATTATTTTTACCCAAAACACTTGTGAGGTAGAAGACCATAACACTACCCAGTTTCTGAACTGAGGTGGTTTATATTCAGATAGAATGAAAGAGAGAAAACCTCAAAATAGTTGCTATCTGCCTATGATAACATATCAATTACTGTATTTACACACCTTCATGCATAGGCAGTGAAGATAAATTTCACCTTTGGATATACAGGTAATCAGACATTTAGGAAAGTGTCAACATAAATGAGGGGCCAAATTTCATTCAAGCAACCTGTAATCCTCAGTAAGTATTTAATTAATAGACAACCTCTCTCTGCTTCCCTCAGTACCTTCATAAAGAATTGCTGAATGTCCATGACTTCATTACCATAATTACTCTACAAAAACTGGGCATCTTTTGTTCTTTGTGGATTTAATTTGTAGGCATGTTCAAGTTTCTAGCTTGTGAAATCCTTAGGGAATCCTTTGTTGTGCACAAGTTTTCCTTCTATATAATGTAACTGGCAGCCAATAGTTCAAGCTGCTACATTTTTCATCCAGTGATGAACTATTTCTCACTCATTTGAGTTATTATTATTACTATGAAGTGGCAAACTAATTACTGAAAGGTGAACAAGTTTGACTGTCTTTTCTGAGAAAAAAAAAAAAAAGTGAATGAATTGACAGGGTAGGCAGGAAGAAGCCAAAAATGACCTAAGTAAAAAATAGTTTAGGAGAGGCTTTTGAAAATGCCAGTGAATGGAATTCACAGAGCTAGCAACTTGCCTAGGTTGTGATACATGAGTTATATCTAAAATTTTGGCAATGAGCAATCTTCCCCCAGTCTTCTAATCAAGGAAGTAATAAAGAGTAAATGTCTGATGCCTGCAAAGGAAAACGCCATGCTGTCCACATAAGTTTTGACATCGAAGTTATCCTTGTGAAAGCATCTATCTTATAAACAGAGGTTTAATAAACTCTTCTTTTATAATCAGTGTGAGAACCTTTCATGGTTTGCTAATACTCAAGGGATTTGCATGTGTTCAGAGTTCTGTAAAAAATTTACTTGTTAACAGGGTAGAATTTGCACAGTCTTATAGCTAAATGCAAGAGCACTCATTTACTTTAAGAGGGGAAAAAAAAAAGAAAAATACAATAAAAGGAACATTGAATCACAATTTTAGTAAAGGTTATGCAAAGTTTGGAATAAGAAGAAAAATATCTAGTTTAATGCATATCATATGTCCTACATATTTTGATAAAGACCATTTTGACTATTATTCATGGAATTAATCATAAAATAATAGAATGATTTGGGTTGGAAGGGACATTTAAGATCATCTACTTCCAGCCCCTCTGATGTAGGCACTGACAACTCTCAATAGACCAGGTTGCTCAAAGCTCCATCCAACTTGGCCTTGGACAACTCCAGGGGGGCTCATCCACAGCATTTATAGGCAACCTGTTTCAGTGTCACACCACACTTACAGCAAAGAATTTCTTCCTAATATTTTGTCTAAAGCTACCCTGCCATTGCCCCTTGTTCTGATGTCACACAACACTGTAATAAGTCCCTGTCCAGCTTTCCTGTAGGCCTCCTTCAGGTACTGGATGACTGCTATTAAGTCTTTTTAGAGCCTCCTCTTGGCCAAAGAGCCCTAGCTCTCTCACCTGTCCTTGTAGAAGAGGTTCTCCAGCCCTCTTTGTGGCCCTCTTCTGGACTCATTCCAACATCTTGAAGTCCTTGTGTTGGGGGCCCCAGAACTGGATGCAGTATTCCAGGTGGGGTCTCATGAGAGCAGTGTAGAGGGGCAGAATCACCTTCCTCTACTTGCTGGTCACAATTCTCTTGATGCAACACAGAATACTGTTGGCCTTGTGGGCTGCAAGTACACATGGCCTGCTCATGTTGAATCTTTCATCAAGTGATATCCCCAAATCCTTCTCCTCAGGGCTGCTCACAAGCCATTCTCTGACAAATCTGTATATGCACTTGGGATTGCCTTTGCCTAGGTACAGGACTTGGCCATGTTGAGCTTCACAGTGCTGGCATGGACCCACCTCTTGGCCTGTCCAGGTCTCTGTGGATGGAATCCCTTCCCTCTGGCATATCAACTGCACTACTCAGCTTGGTGTTACCTTCAATCTGGCTGAGGGTGCACCCAGTCCCACTGTCCGTGTCACTAACAAAGATATCCCTGGTTCCCTGAGGAGCACCACTCATCACCAGCTTTCATTTGGACACTGAGCCATTGATCGCAACACTCAGAGCATAAGCATCCAGCCAATTCCTTATCCAGGGAGTGGCCCATCCATCAAAATAATTTAGTCTGTCTTGTTAAATTCACTGGGCTAGTTTTTACCGACACATTATTGCACTTCGTTCCTTTCATACACTGTTTTATTATAGTACCTCCCATTTCAGTTGTAAGATTTAATAATGGAATTTCTGCTGTGGTACAACATGAAAATCCAGAGTTGTCAAAAAACTGTAAAGCACACGGTCAAGAAAATTATCAGTTCCTCAGTGTACGCAGTACATTCAAGATAAGACAGGAAGAAGTTACCTTCTGTTTTCTGGCAGAATGTTCTTTTATTGTCTTTTTATGCAGAGTCACTTTATTACAGTTATTAAGAAACATTGCATGAGATTTTAAAGTAGTAAAGAAGATAAAATGAGATGTTGCTGTACAAGCCAGATGTACTCATAGAGACACCACAAGTCCTAAATATCAATCTTTTGAACTGTAAAGGCCAATTATATGTATGCACGGTTCAAAGAAGAGATATTGGCAGCACAAAAAAAGATGCTGGTAATTCAGTTGTATGTACCCAATTCATGTGAGCCAATGAAATCATTTTATGCACTTACTTTTACTTCAGATACTAAAATTCTCATCAAGGTCTGAAGAAACACTCTTTGGCTCCCTGCTTCAGATCTAAGGACAGTAGATAGAGAGCAATCTCTGTTAGCCTGGAAATGATGCTGAGACCAAAACAAATCAATCCAAAAACATCACCATCATTTAGCTTCTGTTTCCACTGAGTTAGAAAGGCTTGCAGTGCTTGGAATGCAAATAATTTCCTAGATTTGTTATGCTTGATTCCAGATCATAGAAATATATGATTTTCTCTGAAAGTTTTCTTTTCCTTCTTGAACTGCAATATCTAGGATAGAAAATTAGCATAGGCAGTTCATGTTTCTTCCTCAACGAGTAATTTTAAAGTGTTCTGACCACAAGATTTTTTTCCTTAAATGATTGTCCATAAGTGTGTTACAACACAAGTGATGCTCAGTTCCTTATTCTTGGAGTCAGGACTCATGTGGTGTGTGTATGCAGTTTACATTCACAAGAGTTATCACTTCGATATTTGGTCTCTTTGAGCAACCATTTATCTCTGTCCTTTAAGAGACAAGGTGAAATTCTGTTTCCTCTGAGTTAGTAGAGGCTTTTCTTAGCTCTTAAACTGGGTCAAAGCTTCCCCTTTTTTTCTTGCATCTGGTTAAATATGTTCTGCATTTTGGTCAAAGAAATCAGCATGTAGATACTTCCTTCTCCCTGAATATTACTTTTAGACTAAAATCACAAATTTTTCCTTTCTTTTATATTGCATTAAATGAGAAAATACTGAAAATAAGACTCACTTTGATGTCATCTTGGAAAGGCTTGTGTTAAGTTATACCATTTCCAAAATATCTTGGCTTTCTACACACTGCAAAACTAAGTAAAAACTGCACCAAAATAACTATGTAAATACTAGATAATACACTGTGCATAGCCATAGTCTTGCTATGATGAATTTTGAAGAAAAGTTCAGGGTAGAATTCCAGACTTGCCTTGACTTGAGACACAATCTGATGGTTCTGTGTGTTCTTGTTTTCTATAAATGCTTTTCTTCAAAGTTTCTGTGATCAAATTTCTGCAAACATCTGCCTATAGAATTCTCGAAGTCATTTGGATCTCACCCTTCTTGTATTTTCTTTTATGTCATGGTTTAACACAATAAGCAGCTGAACACAACACAGTTGTTCACTCACTTCGAACCCTCCAGTGAGACTGGGAAGAGAATTGGAAAAAAAAATGTAGAAGTCATGGATTGAGATAAAAATTATCTACTCAGACAGAAAAGAAAGAGGGAAAGAACATTTATGATAAATAAATAAATAAATATTCAAAATGATGCACAAGCAATTGCTCACTATCTACCAACTAAAGCCCAGCCAGTTTCCAAGCAGCAGCTGTACCCCTGGCCATCTCCTCTCAATTATAAAGTTTTTTCACAAGATGTTATATGGCATGGAATATCCATTTGGTCAGTCTTTGCTCTATCACCTGCCAACACCTTGTGCCCCTTCAGCCCCCTCATCGGTAGAATACCATGAGAAGCTGAAAAACTTGGCTCTGTACAGCACTACTCAACAATAATTAGAAACATTGCTGAGTTATCAACAATACTTTTCTCCTCAAGACATAGCACAACATCGTATCAGAGTCTGAAGAAATTGAGCGCCATCCCAGCTGAAACCAGGACATTACCAGAATCAATGCCTTCTTTTTGATATTTTTGATTTAAAGAATGTATAGAAAGTTATTCCTTCCCTGACATGTTCAAGATACTATATTATTTACAGCATTCCTATTGCTTTTCTTAAGTCATAGTTTCCTACAGAGCCTATTTTATGTCCTTTTTTGGCAATATACATAGGATGTTTCTGTATGATAAAGTTTTATTTTTCCTTCAAAAATGTAATTACTGCATCTAGCATTGCAGTATTATGATGTGAGATAAATGGAAATCCACCTATGCAATATTAGAACTTAACAAATTTGTTTGTACCAAAAAATTAGCACATTATGCCTTGCTTTGAACCCTTGAGTTATCTATGCGTACAAATCAATAATCTATTTAATTGAGCCAAGTATTTGGTGTGCAATGTTAGGCTGCAAGGATATTTTTAAACACAGCTCTACTATCTGACTGGATTAATGCCTCTCATATTTTAATTAAGTCCATAATATAGCATACTAAATTTTAATTTCTCTGTTCTTATTCTGTAGTGCAAACTTAGAATGTCTATACTAAGTTTGACTATGTATGATTCCTGACTTTCATTTAAATTCAGATGAGGAATTTATATTTTTATTGGGAAAAGTGTTTCATCAAAATTCTCCTATCCTCAGTGTAAATACAATCTTAATGCTAGTGCTGCTTGAAAGCAAAGCAGGGTTTGAAATAGGATTTTTTTGTTATTATTTCTTACTCACATATGATAAATTCCTCTGCAGATTCCGTGAGAGTCCAGCTTCTGTCGTGCAACTGTATGTATGCGCCACTACTCAAACTGTACAAATATATTGGACATCTGTTTCATGAACAATGCTTTGTTTTTGACAGAATGCAATGTTATAGACGTATCCCTTCAAACAGCTTCAAAGTAAAAATGAAATACAGCAAGGAATGAAAATTGTCTTTAGTTCCTTAATCTTCCGCCTCTATGCTCTTGTGGATTAATCTTGAGCTTGGATAAATATACTTGGCAAGAAAATGCTCTCGCTCACTGCTTTTTCTTCCTTTTTTTTCTCATAAATTCTCCAGACTCTCCAGCCTAAAGTGCACAGCCCAAAGTGCACATATTATTTTCAATGGACAATTCTCTAGTTCCTATGCTCCCAAGTCTGATCTTCAAATTAAGTACACATTGGGAATATGAGATTTTCTGGTGGTTTTGTCAGTTGGGCACTGGCAGTGTATACCTACATTTAATATACACCAGGTACGTAAGTCTGATTTGCATAGTTCATTCAAAGACAATTTTAATTTTAACAATTTTAGCCGTTTGCAAAGGAGGTATTGGAGAGCTGTTCACATTGTATTCGGGATCAGGGTTTAGCCTTGACAAATGGGGAATTGTGTCCGTCCTTTATTGTATTCATTTTTGCCTAAACTGATCTCTTACCTGTGGTATGTACTTTGGATACTTTGTGACTCATATCACATCTTTATTATTTTCCATAATTTTTTTTCATGCATGCATGGTCTCTTATAAGAAACTGATGTAAAGCTACCAAAGGTAGTTCAGAGACTTCATTTGTTCACCCTGCTCTCCCTGAGAAATGAATCTATGTCATCATATTATTCTAACAGTTAAACATAGAGTACTTGAGTATTTTTGAAAGTACCCTTAGATTAAGAGGTAGTTAAAATGGATTAATCATATGCTTTCTCTGGGTTTGTAATAGATGTGCATCTTCATTTTCTTCAAGAAAAGCAGTATTTATCACTGCAAATAAATCATGAAGAATGCATTTTAAAACATATGTTTTCAGACCTGCTATGAAAATTTCCTATGAAAGGGGTCATTGCTCTACATAGCTTAACTTAAATCAAAGCATGAAGATAAAACTGTTGCTTGGACCACAAGGAAGGTAGGAGTTGATACAGCATAACAGAAGAAAACAGTGTGAAAAAGAAATTTGAAAAGGATCTCTTCCTACCTTTTTGAAACAAAATAGGGCTTCTTGTCTTCATCAAGATCCCTGAATAATGAACCAGTTATCCCATTAAGAAAGACATCACAACCTGTTTTAAGGAAGGTGGGAGAGCTTTTTAAATTCTCTTGCAGAGAAACAAGGTGGATTTTTAAAATTTATGCTTATTTTTATTTCAGCCTGTGGGCTTTTTATATTTTTTATTTTCCCCCTCTGGCCATGACTTTTATATGTAATATGTCACTTCAGTTTTCTTTCTTCAGCCATACAAATAACTCCTACGCTAAAATTTATGCTAGTTTGTATCAAATTAATATATCATCCTGAAATAGTAACACTTCTTAAATTATAAAAAACTATGGAAATTAAGTGAAAAATCATAACTCTCAAGCGCATATTTAATATCCAAATTCAGTTACTGAATAATTGCAGCAAAATGCTCAGAACTTAAAACAGAAAGCTTCTCTTCATTTATATTGAAATGGAATAAGAGATATGGTTTTATCTATTTGTGGCCATTCCACAAAAAGGAAAATGAGGTTGAATTCATGGAACAAGTTATTCACTGCTAATTATACACTGCTCTAGCATCAATGGAAAAATCAACCACAAATGTACTGCAATAACTTAGCAACGTGAATGGGAAGCATAGCTGTTCCCTGATGCACATGAATACAAGATGCTAAATTGTATGAAAATAGCCCCAGGATATTGTTTCAGATTCTGTATTGAATAGCTCTGCTGCAGTGGAAAGCAAAAGAAAGCAAACAACTCTGAATTTTTCTCTGGGTAAAAAATGTATTAGGTAAAATCCAATATGCCCATGGATCAGGAGTTCAGGTTAAGTTGGAAATGTTCACTTGGCCAGTTGCTTTCTTAACAGTATTATTTGTTTGCCTGGCAAATAGAGAAATAAATAAATAGAAGGTCTATTCCTCACATTTCACTTGTGTTCTTGCTCTCATCCTTCATGTGGACCTAATCCCATGTTTGTAATATTATAATCCCCTGCTATGGAAATTAATGTGGTGTCACACATTCAGTACTATGTAGCCTGAGTGCCAGAAGGGACAGTGAGCCTCGAAAAGAGCAAGATATTCTAAAAAAATAAATAAGTATCCATGTAAAATAATATGCAATATATTTTTTTTTCATATGTAACGTGGCCAAAATTGCATGTTTTACTGAAAGCATAATTTGCTCCACTGAGTTTGAAAAGACTCACTTTTGTTTCCCTTGGAATACTCAGGAGGGCACATATATTGATTTCAGATATGAGAACATTAAAAAGGCATAATCATGGTGTAAAACTGCTATGGAATGTTTTTTTCTAAAACAGCCAAGTGGATCTTTGAAATAAAGTTTTTGGAAGCAAATTCCTCTAGTGGTTCCATTTGTTCCTCCCACAGGGAAAGCATAAAGGATAAGGATAGAATAAAGGAAATACCTCACATCTTTTGGGGTCTGAGATGAGATTCTCAAGTAAACATCAGGAACTATTCATTGCTTCCACATCTCATGCAAATGAGAGAGGGAAGCCAGCTCTATCTAGCTGGCTCATGGGCTCTATCCAGGTCACAGAGCAGTAGTCTTACTGACTACTCAGGTTCTCTGAGGCTATTAGGTGTCCCAGTAAACCTCTGAAAATGGAATCTCTACTACACAGGTATGGATCTTGATGTCCAATACCTGCTCATGAAATCTTCTAATTTCCCTCCTTTCCCTTGTGAATAAAATATTTTTTGTTTCTTCTAGCCTCTGCATGAAATGCTGCTACTGAGATTAAAAAAAAAAAACAAAAAAAAAACATTAATCCTTCTAATGTGCATTTTATTTGATAATACAGTGTCCATAATTGTTTTGCTGATACTGTAAATCTACAAACAGACTGAAAGTAACATTAAGAAACATTTTAACAGGAGTATTGAGGGGAACTGAACTGTAAAATCATTGTAAGTCCATTTAAAAACTTTCCCTTCATTCCACACATGTCTTTCCCAAAAGCACTTCAAAATGTGTTTTTAATTGTCTTCAACATCCGATTAAATTCTGCATTGCAAACTGCAGCCCTGATGGGAAGATACCTGGCAGGGCATAACAAGAGTAAAATGCATCTCTTCTGAGAAATCTGTGAGTCCATTTTTCAGCTCTTGTATTACCATTCTTGGGCTTATTTTTTCAATCATTAATCTCAAAATACTGCTGGTAAACAGTTTATGTGGTGGTTCATTATACTGCCCAGCAGGCAGTGAAATCAGCAAGAGCAGGTTTTGTTGGACTGCTCCATATGTTTATTTGCTAGCATGTACAGAAAACAGCTTCACACACAGATCTTCAAAATGCTGAATCAAGCAAATATGGAAAGAGCGGCAAGAAGAGGGAATGGAGGAGGGGGAGAGAAGATTCAAATGCAGGTGGGAAATTTCTTTCTTATTAGAGACGAAGGATGTCAGGACACTGAGTATAACCACAGATATCATATACCACAGATGACCAGCCAAATCTGAGAGACTCCTAAGTTCTTTTCATCTTTTGCACGGGGGTCCACTCAAGCTCTTCCTTAATTTTATCCCCAGGTTTCCCCCACAGCTCCATGCTGACCTCCAAGCCACACAGACAGCTGAGGCAGGAGTGCAAAGGAAGATCTTAATCCTGAGTCCTTACTTACCATTCCCATTACTGAGAGTGGTCCCTTCTCTCCTCTGCCCCAAACTGCTCAGTGGGATGAGGTGAAGTTACAGGATACATTCAATCAGATCTATCTTGTCTTTACTTTCTACCCAAAAGTTACTTGCTGCTCAGACCTGGTGCCCTTCTATCTCTTGGGATGGGTAACCCCTGCAAGGAGCACAAAGATCCTGTGCTTCAGAACCTTGGCAGAAGAAAAAGGGAAAAACACACAGCCAAGTTTGGTTCTCACATTTCAATTTGTTCAATTTAAAAGTTTTGTGACAACTCAGTTGGAGTAGAAGATGATTAGTGGCTTTCCTATGGCTCCTCATTCTTTTTCTTTTGCTTCATTTTTGGTGGCAGTATCACCAAAGAGGGATATAAGAAGATTTGTTATCTTATCTATACTATGACTATTTTATCTTAATCTCATTTGGGGAAAGCAGTTTCAGGGGGTTTACCATATTAAGTCAGGAACATACTATTCTTGACTTCACATAAACACAGAAGGCAGCAGTTAAGCCAAAGGGTTGTAACCTCAGCTGCTACCAGAAAAGTTTTCAGATAACACTTCTGCCAGACAAAGTGATGAGTTAGAGGATGCTCTGCCCAGTGGGTAGACCAAAATTAGTTATACCTACTCTGCTCTCCTTTTTAACTTACCAAATATCTCAGACAGTTCCAGCAGTATGATAGACATCTGTAGCTTCAATTGTTCTTTCCATGTCATTCAAATAAAGAAAAAAATGTTTGTGCAGTATGTTGTGGTTGGGTTTGTTAATGTGTCAAAGTAGAAATATCTTGTTTCTGTAATGGACTGCAAGTAAATCCAGGATGGTCCTAAGTTACTGTGAAGTTTTGTTACTGATCTTTGAGTGACCCCAAACAGTTATCTCACCTTTCAGTAGGGTTTTATTTATTAGGAAACAGGAAGAAAGCAGGTTTTTAGAAACCTGTAAGGATCCATAGAAAAATGAATAGGCTAATAATGGAAACTGTACAATTATCATTCCCTTGAACTTACCTCTCAAAGTCCTCCATCTGGCAAGACACCTGCTTGTGATGTCAATTAAAAAGATCTCCTTACCTAAAAAGTATAGCATGTGGTTATTATTACATTAAAATGTATTAGGGACATAACAAATGTAGGGTATTAGAAAAGAGTGAAGGCAACATGAAACCTCTTGATACTGTAAAGTCTGTACATTGACATAGAACTTATTGATATAATTCGAAGAATGTGTTGGTATAACATGCACAAAGTAGATTAGCCATAACTGTGGTGAGTTTCATTTTCCCTGAAATTCTTAAATAATGAGACATTCTCTGCATCAGATGTAAGTTATGTTTTCTTAATCTGTAAAAGATATTACAGTCAATTATGCTATTTTATTTCTTAGGTAATTCAATTGATTTCATCTGATTTTTAGAATAATACTCAGATGAAGATAAAAATGGAAAGTCTCTACTCCAACCACCAACTGGTAGCCATCATACCAGCATTTAGATATTTCACAAATTTAATAAGAAAAAAGCTCATTACCTAAATTTCTCAATACAACTTTTTCAAATGTCCTTGTTTGTGAATTAGTTGCTACTAATAAAAACTGAAAGATTTATCTATGGAATACTGAAAATAAATTCTACACTTTTGACAACTCCCCATTCATTCAAATTACAGAGGACATGCTGGTTTTCAAACAGATGGGATAATAGAAATCAAATATATTACTTCACAAAATAATTTGAGGAAAATAAATAATTCAGTGTTACTAGATTATTGCAGAATTGTTCCTATGAAACTCTTGGCAAGAACAGGCTTCAGTGAAGTCAGCTTCAGCACTTAGCTTAATTCACAGGGGTCAAGGAGACAAGTTTATCAGATTGGCTAGCACATCTCTCTTTTACACTACAGAGAAGTCTTTGAAGAAATGTGTGCTGAGCACAAAAATTTAATACTATTAACATTCTTTCAAATAAAGCCTAGTGTCAGTGGGACTATTTGAATGCGTCTGAGTAATTGTTCTTTCTAACAATGTATGAAAGTATGTAAGATCAGATTAGATTGGAAGAAAAAGACTGTAACTTTCATTCTACCTTATACTGTTGCTTTGCCCACCCAGCTGAGAATACAATAAAGGTTCCCATCAAGTTTCTTGTAAACTGAAAGAATTAGTCTTATACCCACAATTTACTCTCCAGCCAGGTTAATTCTTTGGGAAGCAATGCTGTTATATGTCAATTCTATTCTGTCTCAGCATGAGATTCAAAATGCCTTCCAATAATGTTAAAGTACACTACAGTATCTTACCAAAACTATGAATTTCAACCCTTAATTCCTCTTTTTGAAGAAATACAAAATACTATTTTAGCAATGAGCCAATCTCAGCATCAGTAAGGACACTCAGAGGAGAAAATAGTTTTCAGATGCATAAGCTATGTTAAAAACATTAAGCTGATTTCTCCAATTATTGCAGTAAAGTGATGGAGTTTTTCAGTCAGACAGAATGTCCTAAGTAATTGGTATTGAAATTTGTATTCAAGCAAGATTTATTGACCAGATATTTTTGTTGTTGCTTTGTTTGTTTTTTCTCCCAAATCCTGCTTTGTTTCAGGTGTCTTATTGGTGATTATTAGTTCATCAGAATGCAAATACTCCCATCATAAAATAAGGGAAGAGTTCTCAAAATGCCTAACTGGCATGGATCTCTAAGTCTTTTATGAATATTTGACTCTATTTTTCTCATTACAAATACATTTTCTTCAAAATTTTGCAATGGATCAGGGATATTATTTATCTTTTTTTAATATTTATATTAAAATGTCACTCATGATATGGAATTTAATAATCTTTACCTAATAAAAGATAGTCCTTACGTTTTTAAAGAAATCAATCTTCTTAAACACAGGCATTGAAGTTAAGATCCTAAAAAGAAGCCTTCCACACAAGCAGAAAGTGACTGCTTGTGAGAATTGGTATTCTTCTGCATGCCCTAGATTTACAAGTCATATTAAAACAATCCTGACCCTGAGTCTCTGAATATTTTAAGAACAAGCATTGCAGATTCTGGTGTCCATTTTTATTATTTCCACCTGTGATTGTTAGCTCAGTAAAAAGGTAAGAACTTCAGAATATGATTTTAATGGTAATAATTAGGGGTGAGGCTTCAGCTAACCCGTCCAGCTGAAATCAAGGTTATGATTCCTTTCATAGCTGAGGTTAATGCTGTAAATACCAGTTGCACTCCTTGTTGAAGTACTGCTTCAGTAATTCATTGGGGTAAAATGATCTCAGTCTCTGGCAATGAAGATCCTCTAAAGGCTTTGGCAAGAAACTGCATAAAGTAGTAATCAGAAGCAGTACCGTGCCACAGAATAGGAAAATACTACCTTCAGTCATTTTAACTTTAGAGATACAAAGATTCCTTCCTTCCTTCCTTCCTCCCTTCCTGAGAATTCAGCTTAAAGGAAAAAAGTAATTCTGTAATTTACACCTCTGACATTAAGCTGAAAAGAAGCACTGCAGACACCTGCTTCAGAATTGTCATTGTTTCCATGGTGCCACTTTCTATCACCTATTTTTAATAGTTTACACAACAAGATCAAGGGTGTCCCAGCTGTTACTGCCACTGTTGCTAAGCAACCTTTAAATCAGAGTTCAAGAAGACAAAGAATCATGCTTGAAAAATTTCTCAAGTGTCTGCTTTCCCCCTTCTTCTTCTGTCTACACTATTTTTCAGATGCCATGTTTTCTGTTCCTTTTTTTTTTGCTCCTATCAAATTCTGTATGAATCAACGGAATAGCCTAATTCAAAGTCCAACTTCTAGTTACAGCAGTCACTACTGGATGCAAAAGAGGAAGCTGTGGCATTAGGATTTTTATAACATTAACATATATATATATATTTAAATCCAAATATTTTTAGGACACTATGACCCTCCACTGCTATTGTATAATATCTGTGCCTGGCTGCTTCATGGACTGACATACCAATAAATGGAAGGAGATTCAGAGCTTACAGGGAGTTTCAGTGCCCACTGTGCTTTCTAGAATCAGAACACTGTCACCTGCAAAAAAGCTCAGAGAGGTTGAAAACTTACAGCAAAGAGAAAGAAAAGTTTGAATGAATGAATCTGGAGAATTTTGAGTCTGGGTTTCTGTTATAAAATGTTAACAGTTTTTGAATTTTGTTGCTCAGCCTTTAGCATCCCTCCTCTAGTAGTAGTAGTAGTAATACATCTTTTTCATTAGATACATTAGCTGTGCTAACAATGGAAATAAAGCAGTGCTGTGGAATACAGGGGTAAAGGAAAACATACAGTTAAGAGATCCTGCACTTCATTTAAGATCTTTGCTTAGCTCAATAGCCTTTCCTTTTCCTCTCCTGATTTTTGACTTTCGCACTAATCTATAGTTTGCCATTCAGGTATACAAATTCACTCACCTCATACTGAGCATTTCAAAGAGATCTTCTCACTCATTAAAAAAATCTGTCCAGTTTTCAGCTTGAAGAGAATTTCCATGCAATTTCAATACTCATAAAGAGATTTCAGATTGTTTCTGTCTCATCAACTATCCTTAACTTGAGAAATTTCCTAGAAGGTATAAGGAATAGCTTGTTCTCTGTGTCCTTCCAGCACTTGGCCTTAGTGTTTGACCCCTTTATAGAGTCTTCTCAGGAAGCATAGCAGTTGTGATGGCACATCTTTATTTATTTGCTTGTTTGTTTGTTTGCCTGCCTATTGTCAGGAGATATTCATCCTCTGGGAACAGGGATGAGATCACAAAATTCATTTAAGATAGGTTACTGAACTACCAGATGATGCAGCTTTTGGTCTCTATCTGCCTTGTCTGAACATGAAGCTGGCACAGAGAAACAAATTACTTATCCTGTGAAACCATTTGACCCTTATTTTCATTTAAACTAGGCTGGTATAAATTAGAAGAAAACTCACCACAGTTACAGAACGTAAAATTATCATAAGGAAAGGAGGCAATGTTTAGAGCTTTTATTTGAAATGTAACTCCACTGCCAGTGTTTAATGTTCTTGCTAAAGGCAGTCTTATAATTCTGAGTAAATGAATACATCCTGTCTCAGATTTGTTTCACTGATTAATATGAAACCTGCCAAGGAAAGATAGCCTCTTAAAACTCTAAGGTTTTATATGTACATATGCCAGTGCATCTGTTCTTGATAACATGCTGAAAATATTTTCTCTTTATCTAGATTCTAGGAATCTCTCTGAATTTTGTCACCCCAAAAATTCTCAGAAACGTGCTTCATATAAATAACTGCTGTTACAATATTGCCTTTATTTCAGTTAACTTATTTCTATGCCCAAAACTGCAAATAGGAAATTTTCTAGCAGACTAGTTTAGAAGCTGTGAAAATATTTTGCTATTTTTCCCTGTATGGGAACTGCTGAGTCACAACCTGAACCTCTGATTGATCACCTGAGGCGAGCCATGAGTCAGCCAGAGGAGCACAGGTGAAGGCAATTCACCTGTGCTGCCAGAAGGGGTGGAGCCAGGCTCCAGCTCTCCTAGACCTATTCAAGAGCTGGCTACCAGTGGGGAAGGATCTCTTCTGGAGATCACCCCTCTTGGTGTCTTCTGGTGAGCTCAGCCAAAGGGTAAGCTCTTCCACTAATTCTCTTTTGTGATCGTTGTTTACTTTGCCTAATTCTCTTGATTATATTGTAATTATAATATCTTGATATCTATTGGTTATACAATGATATTGTAATTATAACATCTTGATTATACATTCCCAAATAACCATGGGATAGAACTCCTTATTCTCATTCTACATGGTATTTTTAGCAAATTTATCATTAAATATATTTTTCAGAATAGCTATGTTTAGCAGAATCGTGTCCTTAAATGAACAAGTTGATTTAAAACCAGTGACACGAAACTGGTCCAGGGTTCTTGCATCTAATTTAGGGCTGAAGGCAGAATCCCAGCCTTCACTCCCAGCCATGCAACACTGATGACTGAGGAAAAAACTTTAAAAGCACAATTATAATAAACTTACTGCATGAACGTCTCTCTTGCCTTCCCTGCCAGAGGTGCAGGAAGTTTT